GGTCTTCGAGACCCCCCCCACCCTAACTGCCCCCCCAGGACCTCCTACCCAACTCACCCCGCTCTCTCTCCCTTGACTGCCCGACCCCCCCCATCCACCACCACCCCGACAGACCCCCGGAACTCCCACGCCAACCCAACCCCCCCATCCCCTTACAGCCCCCACAGAACCTCCACCCCCTCCCTGTCCCCTTATCCAACCCCTCCTCCCAGCCCCGGCCCGGCCCCCTTACCATGCTGCTCAGGGGAGCGTGTATCGATTCCATGCGGCCCGCTGGAGCTCACAGCCCCACCCCCTTACCATGCTGTTCAAAGTGGCAGGAGCTGCAGAGCCGCCCAGGAGTGGTCCAGAGCGCTGGCGCAGCACTCTGAGGCTCTGTGAGGTGGGGGTGGGGCCGGGGGAGCCTCCCCTGCCGGGAGCTCAGGCGGACCGGACAGGACAGTCCTGCGGGCCAGTGTAACGACAGAAAAACCTCCCTCTTTCAATTGCCCACCCCTTTAACAATCGGTTCTAAACCGGCTTCTAAATTTAACAACCGGTTCATGTGAACCGGTGTGAACCGGCTCCAGCTCACCACTGGTCTGAGGAGAGATTCCAAACAGCCAGTTAATCCTGCTGTAAGAGTGCCGATGCTTGAGATGATGGGACGTCCAGGGTTTCCAGGTTTATGGATCTTGGGTAGCAGATAGAATACCCTAGTCGGGGCTCTGGGGGTGTGTCCGTGTAGATTTGTTCCCGTGCTGTAGCTGGGAGTTTCTTGAGCAGATGGTGTAGTTTCTTTTGGTATTCCTCAGTGGGATCAGAGGATAGTGGCCTGTAGAATGTGGTGTTGGAGAGTTGCCTGGCAGCCTCCTTTTATAATCCGATCTGTTCATTATGACTACAGCACCTCCTTTGTCAGCCCCTTTGATTATAATGTCAGAGTTGTTTCTGAGGCCGTGGATGGCATTGCGTTCTGTATGGCTGAGGTTATGGGGCAAGTGATGCTTTTTGTTCACAATTTCAGCCTGTGCACGTCTGTGGAAGTACTCTATGTAGAGGTCCAGTCTGTCATTTGTAGTGAACAAACAAAAAGTTTTGTAGTGAACTTAACACCATTAATTTGGGCTTGATTAGGGACTGGGAGTAGCTGGCTCACTACAAATGCAATTTTCCCTCTCTTGGTATTGACACCTCCTCATCCATTATTGGGAGTGAACCACATCCACCCTGACTGAATTGGCCTTGTCAACACGGGTTCTCCAACAAGCATCGATTGCCGCAGCGTCAATCCTCCAGTAAGTATAGACAATCACTTTTGTGCTTCCCCAATCAATCCAACTGGTTCAACCCTGACATAAGCAAAATATTTATAGCAGTGGCACTCTAGTGAAGACCTGCTAAATCGGCCGCCAATTGCTCTCCTGTCGACTCCTGTACTCCTCCTGATTGAGAAGAATAAGGGGAGTCTCTCCTGTCAACGTCAAGTAGTGTGGACCCCGCGGTAAGTAGATCTAAGCTACGTTGATTTCAGTTATGCTATTCACGTAACTCAAATTGCGTAGTTTATATTGACTTTTCCCTTTAGTGTAGACAAGGCCATAATCTCTGCTCCTTCCCACTCAGATTCTGCTCAGAGCACAGCTTGGGACAACCCAAGACTGCAGGCCATAGTGTTTGTCCAGAAGTCTAGCCTAGAACCCATTTACTGTTAAATTGGAGACAGTTTGGAGTGGGGTGACCAGACAGCAAATGTGAAAAATCAGGACAGGGGATGGGGAGTAATAGGAGCCTATATAAGAAAAAGACCCCAAAATCGGGACTGTCCCTATAAAATCGGGATATCTGGTCACCCTAGTTTGGAGACTAATTACACTGGCCTATGAAAATTACAATAAGTAACAGCGAGTGAGGATCTGATAACAAGGAGCTGATCCCACAAATACTTACTGCTGGGCATAGTATCTATTACCATGAATTGTGCCATATGACTTCAATGAGACTGCTTACAGAGTAAGCACTAAGCTTGGTGATACATGCAGGACTAGGAGCCAGTTGAATGAACAAAGTAACCACGTTCTAGACAACACAAACCATGAGCTACAAAAAAGCTGAGGTATTTATAATTCTTAACCTGTGGTACTAGGAAGATCAGAAATAAACACAGAACAAAAAGGCTTTGTGTGGAACTGGAGCACACAGAAGTTGCTTTATCTTTTGTTTGGCTTACCCTCAGGATAGGTCTCTGACTTGCAAACATGGTCTTTGAATGACCAAAGGGAGTTGTCACTTGTAAAGCAAAAACTGGCTGTTGCAGTGGCTGGCTCATTACAAATCCGAGTGATTTATATGCATAACACCATGTAGCTCTGGTACTAATTGTGTATCACATTGCATTGCCAGAACTGCCAGGAGACAAATGGTCCAGATCTCTGGAGTGCTGAAAAGTGAATTATGTGAGAAGAGAAACTGAATGAGTCCTCAATTGGACTAATAATTCACCAAGTCTGTTCGGCTCATAGATTGTTTACCTAAGTTATAGCTGAAAACAGCCTCATTAAATTTGCTTTAGGCAATGCAACTGAAGGTAGTGTAGGACCATGACTGTTATGTTTTGCAGCTAGCGTGTATGCTCTGGGCACGAAACCAGAAGCTGAATTGCAAACTGAGAACCTTTGCCTTAGACTCATGTCAGCCTTAGAGTACTAAGGACGTGAGGACCAGCCAAAAGTTAGTGTCAAGTTACAATATAGCACGTGGAAATGTTCCAGTTTCATTGTAAAGTAATAGACTAATATGAGGTAACAGAGTTACGCTGTGGAGTTTTCTGATTTAAATGACCATTAAACAAAACAGATATATAACTATCCTTCTCAATGTCATGCAGTGAGTCAGTGGCAAGTTGCAGGACAGAATTTAAATATTTTTTTTCCCTTCTGGTCCTCAGCAATAACTGCTAGACCCATCTGTCCCTGCCAACTAGGAGTCATGATGTTCTGCTGAACTGCAGCTGCCTTAAATCTAGGGTAGCTCTGATGCAATACCAGCATGATGAAGTGGAGTGGAATCAATTGCATTGACTAGAACTGAGATGTCACAAACAGATGCTCTGGGTGTGTAGTTTAGCCCCATGTAGTAACAAAGAGACACTTTCTGTATTTTTTGTTTCAATATTTTCTATTTCAATTCATAATGTCCTATGGCTAGAGTGTGTCAGACCAGAGTGTCTACACATGAAAACTAATGCAAATTACAGTAGGGTGTGAATTTCAAGTGGGAGGGTTAACTATTCCTGTTTAAAGGAGTAAGGCACTTATTTCACAATAACTCCATGTGTAGCAGCTCTTTATCAGGAATAGCTATACTGGAGTAATTCCCCATGTAGACAAGCCCTTATTTGGCCACACAAGGGAGTAAGGAAGAATAAAGATCTGGTTCATCTCTGTTCAGACTGTAACTTTGGCTGCAGCGTGGAGAGGATTGGAGACTTGCCTGGTACTCTTCATTGGGAATAAGTGGGTAGGAAGGGGGTACAAGAAGGAAGCCTGGCTAAAACTCCCAGCCTCTCCTCACTTGCTACCCCGAGTAACCAACCCAGGTTACTTTGACCTTTGCATACATTTTTGCAAAATTTAAGAACAGTTATATTTGGACAGACAGTGTGAGTTGGGTAGCGGAAGTGTGATGGAAGAGTATATGGTCGTGCAGAATGCGTCTCCATTTCCAGATATCATGGGGTCCATAAATGGTATATAATTTTCTAGAGAAAGTAATTCCATTGTGGGGGGAGGGGTTCAGCAGGACTCCCATGGAAAAAATAGTTTCATGTCAACCCAAAATGAAAATTGTACAAGTTTTTTTTACTAAAATGAAAAAAATGTAAACAAAAACATTTGGTCAAACAAAACATTTTGTTCAGCTGAAAACAAAACATTTATCTTCCTTTTCATTTTTTTTTAAAATTTAAATAAAATTGAAGTAAAATTCTAAATGGAAAGTTGTTTTGAAAATGCTGAAATGAAACATTTTGATTTTTTGTTTAATTCCCCCCCCCCACCTCCCAACTGAAACAGTTCAGCAAATTTGACATGAATTCACAAACCTGAATCTGCATTTTTTGACCCAAAAAAGTTCTGGCTGAAAAACTTTACTGATCTATAGTCACCTGTATTTATTATTTGAGGGAGAGTAAACCCTAACAAGAGATGGCAATAACTTGTAAAGCAACTTTTAAACAGCTACTCACCGGGGAAATATCATGGCGAGACTTGCCTGTAGCCTGCCTCCTTGGCTGAAATCTGTGCTTCCCTCCTTCAATAAAGCTGTAATGAAAGAGGAAAAGAAAGAAAATCTTTTAAATAACCATGTACTAATTGCGTTCAGCTCCATAGAGAGAAATAACAAAGGAACACAGCTGGGGGAAATACAAGTAAACAAAAGCTATTTCATATTTGACATTATCCTCTGTGGGGTTTCATTTTCCCCTAGCCAGAACATTTGTGAGTCTGAAAGAAAGAAAAGAGGTGCTTGTTGCCAAGGGTGGTGGTGGTTTTTTGTTAAAAAAAAAAGCATGATGATGAAGAAAATAATTGAAGTATCCTGAAATCCTTGTTTGGTAGCTCAGATTCACCAAAGAGTCTTTAGCAGAGCAAGCGGGGAATTGCATGTATTAAAGATAGTTAAATCGCCAGCCTCATTTCCATGTTATCTTAAGTAAGCTAGAAAAGGCATGTTATAATATAGGCTAGGAAGAAAAATAAAAACCATACTCAACTCTGGATCCAAGTACTTAGTTCCTACAGATGTCAATTAGAGTTTGACATGGTATTACATGGTCCTGAGAGTAGGAGGGAGGGTTTAAGTGAGTTCTGGACACTAATGAAACTTGCATCATACATTAGCATGCTACATCCCTTTATAATAATGCTTATCTTTTATACAGCACTTTTCATACTTAGTGTTTTACCAGTCTGGATAAATATCATTATCCTCATTTCAGATGGGAAACTGGAGCATGGATAAGTGAAGTGATTCGCCCAGGCCTGGTCTACACTACGAGTTTAGGTCGAATTTAGCAGCGTTAAATCAAATTAAGCCTGGACATGTTCACACAGCTAAGTCCCTTTTTTCGACTTAAAGGGCCCTTTAAACCGGTTTCTTTACTCCACCTCCGATGAGGGGATTAGCGATAAAATCGGCCTTAGCAGGTCGGAATTGGGGTAGTGTGAACGGAATTCGATGTTATTGGCCTCCGGGAGCTATCCCACAGTGCTTCATTGTGACCGCTCTGGACAGCACTCTCAACTCAGATGCACTGACCAGGTAGACAGGAAAAGCTCCGCGAACTTTTGAATTTCATTTCCTGTTTGCCCAGCGTGGAGAGCACAGGTGACCACGCGGAGCTAATCAGCACAGGTAACCGTGATGGAGTCCCAGGATCGCAAAAGAGCTCCATCATGGACCGAATGGGAGGTACAGGATCTGCTCGCCATATGGGGAGATGAATCAGTGCTAGCTGAACTCCGTAGCAGTAAACGAAATGGCAAAATATTAGAAAAGGTCTCCAAGGCCATGAAGGACAGAGGCCATAACAGGGACGCACAGCAGTGCCGCGTGAAAATTAAGGAGCTAAGGCAAGCATACCACAAAGCCAGAGAGGCAAACGTAAGGTCCGGGGCAGAGCCGCAAACATGCCACTTCTACGCGGAGCTGCATGCCATGCTAGGGGGTGCAGCCACCACTACTCCAAACGCGTGCTTTGACCCCATCAATGGAGAATCACGCAACAGGGAAGCAGGTTCGGGGTACGAGGAAGATGAGGATGAAGACAATGAAGATATCTCACAGCAAGGAAGTGGAGAAACCGGTTTCCCCAACAGCCAGGATATGTTTATCACCCTGGACCTGGAACCAGTAGCCCCCGAACTCACCCAAGGCGTGCTCCCAGACCCTGAGGGCACACAAGGGACCTCTGGTGAGTGTACCTTTGTAAATATTACACATGGTTTAAAAGCAAGTGTATTTAATGATTAATTTGCCCTGCCAATCGCGGCCAGTACAGCTACTGGAAAAGTCTGTTAGCATGTATGGGGGAGCAGAAATCCTCCAGGGACATCTCCAGAAAGCTCTCCTTCATGTACTCCCAAAGCCTTAGCAAAAGGTTTCTGGGGAGGGCTGCCTTATCACGTCCGCCATGGTAGGACACTTTACCACGCCAGGCCAGTAGCACGTAGTCTGGAATCATTGCATAACAAAGCATGGCAGCATATGGTCCCGGTGTTTGCTGGCATGCAGACAACATCCATTCCTTATTGCTCTTTGTTATCCTCAGGAGAGTGATATCATTCACGGTCACCTGGTTGAAATGGGTCGATTTTATTAAGGGGACATTCAGAGGTGCCCGTTCCTGCTCTGCTGAACAGAAATGTTCCCCGCTGTTAGCCACGCGGTGGGGGAAAGGGGTGAAGGGATCATCCCCGAGAATTGGGTGTGGGGGGCGAAGGGGGTTAGTTGGGTTTGTGCTGCAGTTAACCCGGAAACCGCAGCCCCTCCTTTTACATTGCAAACTCATTTTAAATGGCCAACCCAACGGGTGCTTGGTATGGGAAATGATGGCGCTACTGTTTGAAACCATTCCCACATGTTAAGAAGGTTAAAAAAGCCAAAAGACTGTGGCTTACCATGGCTGCCTGCAAGCCGAAATCTGTTGCCTGGCACTGCGTGAGTGATCTCTCACACCAAACCGACAGGCCCTCAATATAAGAGGGGAAAATGCGACCTTGTAACGAAAGCACATGTGCTGTGTAATGTGAACGGCAAAATTTAACGTGAAAGAGTGTACCCATTGTTCTCTAAAATGTGTCTTTTCTTAACCACCTCTCCCTTCTCCTCCACCAGCTGCAAATGTTTCTCCTTCGCAGAGGCTAGCGAAGATTAGAAGGAGAAAACAGCGGACTTGGGATGATATGTTCTTGGAGCTTCAGATGTCCTCCCACGCTGAAAGAGCACAGCAGAATGCGTGGAGGCAGTCAATGACTGACTACAGAAAAGCACAATATGAATGAGAGGAGAGGTGGCGGGCTGAAAATGATAGGTGGCGTCAGCTTGTAGACAGAAGGCAAGAGCCGATGCTCCGGCTGCTGGAGCATCAAACTGATATGCTCCAGCGTATGGTTGAGCTGCAGGAAAGGCAGCAGGAGCAGAGACTGCTGCTACAGCCCCTGTGTAACCAACAGCCCTCCTCCCCAAGTCCCATTGCCTCCTCACCCAGACGCCCAAGAACACGGTGGGGGGGCCTCCGGCCACCCAGTCACCCCACCCCAGATGATTGCCCGAGCATGGAAAGGCTGGCCTTCAATAAGTGCTAAAGTTTTAAAGTTT